CACCTCCTGGCAAATAGAAGGGGAAGATATGGAGGCAGTGACAGATTTTACTTTCTTGGGCTCCATGATCATTGCAGATGGGGACAGCAGCCACGAAATTAAAAGACGCCTGCTTCCTGGGAGGAAAGCAATGACAAACCTAGACACCATCTTAAAAAACAAAGTTCTGAAGCAAAGTTTTCTCCAGTAGTGTTGTATGGAAGTGACGTCTGGACCATAAAGAAGGCTGACAGCCAAAGAATTGATGCTTTTGAATTGTGGTGCTGGAGAAGATTCGAGAGTGCTCTGGACTGCAAAGAGAACAAAGCTATCCATTTTGAAGGAAATCAACCCTGAGTGCTCACTCAGGACCCATCCTGAAATTGATGCTCTAATACTTTGGCCATCTCAGGAGAAGAGAAGACTCCCTGGAAAAGTCCCTGATGTTGGGAAAGAGTGAAGCCAAGAGGAGAAGGGGACGACAGAGGATGTGATGGTTGGGCAGTGTCACCGAAGCTACCAACATGAATTTGACCCAACTCTGGGAGGCAGTGGAAGACAGGGGGGCCTGGCGTGCTCTGGTCCGTGGGTTCACTCAGAGTCAGACACGACTGAACAACTTGTGTCAAACATACATATTCTGGGGTTAGGGGGGGCAATGTTTTGTTTGCTTCTGTGTGAACGTGTGGGCCAGAAACAGTAGACTTCATGACTGTGAATATATGACACAAGGTTGTTTGAATGGTTGTTGCTGCTTACTGTCTGTTGCCGTTATTTTTGGCTACTTTGGTGAGTATGTCTCAGTGTGCCGGTGCCTGCCCATGACTGGCTGCTTCCTTGCCTTATTTTCATTGTGTTGTCCAGACTCACAGGATCTTTGTTGTTATCTAAATTGATTGCTAAGCAAGCAAAGTATTTTTGCTTTGTGTATAGGATAGTAGCAGCGGTAGGGTATCCAGGCTGAAAGGGCACATTTGTGTGGCCTCTGGTGGTGATGGGCACTGGGAATGGTCACTGCTAGAAGTTTCAACCTATGGTCAAGTATGCTGTGCCTCTGATATTGGTGAAACCCATCCTAACTGTGAGATAAAGAAACTCTGCACTTTTTCTAGAAAGTTGTAGGAAGATCACTGGACACTTCTCATGTGGCGTGAAGACCAATCACTTGCTGACTATAAAGTATATAGACTTAGAGGTGTCTTGGAGCACTACCTTGTCAGTGATGTTGGCACCAAGTAGAAATAGAGTTACGACATGCTGGAGCACTTGGTGGCTCCAAAACGTAAGAACTATTTTTTTAAAAAAATTACATGCACATCTTTTAAGTTCATATAAGCAAGTCTGATTGAATTCAATAGGATTTACTTCCTTGTAAGGCTCAGGACTAGGGACGTGCTGGTGCTGGAGGTTAAACCACAGAAGCCTCTGTGCTGCAAGATCAAAAGACCAGCCGTCATAAGATCAAATCCACGCGATGGACTGCACTCCCGTCTCTTGTCCCAGCTTCTGCCAACCTAGCAGTTTGAAAGCATGTAAAAATGTGAGTAGATAAATAGGTACCACTTCAGAGGGAAGGTAATGGCGTTCCATGTCTAATCGTGCTGGCCATGTGACCACAGAAATTACCTTCGGATAAATGCTGGCTCTATGGCTTGGAAACGGGGATGAGCACCACGCCCTAGAGTCGGGCACAACTGGACTAAATGTCACACGGAACCTTTACCTTTACCTAAGGCTCAGGACTTTAAAAGCATCTTAAAAATCAGAGACATTACCTTGCCAACAAAAGTCCGCATAGTCAAAGCTATGGTTTTTCCTGTCGTGATGTATGGAAGTGAGAGCTGGACCATAAAGAAAGCTGACCGCGGAAGAATTGATGCTTTTGAATTGTGGTGCTGGAGGAGGCTCTTGAGAGTCCCCTGGACTGCAAGAAGAACAAACCTATCAATTCTAAAGGAAATCAACCCTGAATGCTCACTGGAAGGACAGATCCTGAAGCTGAAGCTCCAATACTTTGGCCATCTCATGAGAAGAGAAGACTCCTTGGAAAAGAACTTGATGTTAGGAAAGTGTGAAGGCAAGAGGAGAAGGGGACGACAGAGGATGAGATGGTTGGACAGTGTTATCGAAGCAACCAACATGAATTTGACACAGCTCTGGGAGACAGTGGAAGATAGGAGGACCTGGCATGCTCTGGTCCATGGGGTCACGAAGAGTCGGACACGACTAAACAACTAAACGACAAAGGCTCAGGACTGCAGTCTGAATCATGTAGAATAGAGGCAGGCATTGTGACACATTCCAGATTGCCTGCCTTCCATAATTCATGCTTGCTGGGGTTTATGTGATTGTCCACAACTTTTTAAAGTTTTGAACAACTCCTATGTTTCTTATAAGGTCCCATGTTTCCTAGACGAACTATTGCCCAAACAGTGGAAGAAGAGTGGTGAAGCACTTTAACAGTATCACTTACTATATTTGTTTGCACACACTATATTCAAGGGGACTTTACTTCTAGAATCACTCAATTGGCAAATTTGACTTTTGCCAATTGAAAGAGAGAACCAGAAAGACAACACATAAATTTAAAAAAAAATTGAGAAGTGACCAAAATAGCACTGATGATATTTTGAAGTTTCAAAAACAGAAACTGTTCGGCATCCTCATACTTGCAAGTTTATTTTAAATACAGATATCCCCAAGGAGAAAATACTGGGTAAGGGGGTAAACTGTAAGCATAGCACTTTAGCATCCTCCAGTGGCTATTTGAGTGCACTGCAAGTTTAGAAAGTGCTTTCCCGAAATTTAAGAGGAACTAGTAACTGATACATTTAAATCAAAAGGGTCATTTAAGATGTTTATCTACTTTTTAAAGTAGCTCTCAATACTTCTTGAGCTATTACTTTTCAAAATAAATGGCATCCCAAAACCACTGCATTGATCATTGCCTGAATTGTTTAAAAAATTAAGGACAACGCAAAGAAGCAAATTAGATGTATAGCATGAAAACACAATTTCAGAAACACAGAAAAAACTAGGGAGATTTTTTTAAAAAAATCAGTTTAACTTTGTTTCTTCTTAGATAGCTCAATGAGTCAGGTCTCTGGCTGTGAATCCAGCAGCTGGGAGTTCAGTCCCCCACTGTGCATGCCAGAACCAGCCTATATGGCCATGGGCAAGCTGCACAATCCCAAGATGCCCCCAGAAGGAAAAAAGAGTAAATCATTTTCCGTTCCCTCTACTGAGAAAATCTTGAAAGAATTGACTTGACAGCACACAATAGTAATTAATTAATGACTTTAGAGGGAAAATTCCCCAAATAGTAACCAATATGAAAAACAAAAAATGTTCAAGGCTAAGGGCTGATACTTAAACTACATTATGTAGAGACCCATGACAAAGAAACACAATTCAAACAAATACCTCAAACAAGGCTTTATAATTCCAAGAGCCTTTAACCAGATCTTAGTGGCAGGATGAAAAAGTTACAAAGAATTTCTCACCCAAACACATGTTAATGTATATATTATATATGTTCTGTGTGAACCTGCTCACTAATTACATGCACTTTCCACTAGGTACACACCACCAGATGTTGCCTAGTCAGCTACTGAAGAAAGGTCCTCTTCTACAATAGTGCCCTGAGGTAGGATTGTTCTTCCCAAGCAGCTCCGCCTGGCATTTTATTCATAATCCTATATGTGCCAGGACAATACTTTTTTTTTTGAAAAAAATCTGTTTCCAACTATTCAGGCTTTACTATTGTTCCATGTGAGTTTCAGTGCTTCTTATTTTAATTCTATTTATTATAGCTCTATTACTTCTCATCATTTAAATAATCATAGTTTGTTCCATTTGACCTACACACATCTCCTTTATTTTTATTTTCACACAGAAACAAGTATGTGATATATCTGAGAGTGTGCTGACCAGCCTTCCAAAACTGGAAGTGTTCGGGATATTTTGGATGACAATTCCCAATAGCTCTGGTCAGCAAGAGAATGAAAGAAAATGGTAACTGTATTTCAAAGTTGTGAGAACCAGGTTGGCTGTAGACAGCAGAACACAGATCCAGTTTTTATACCAAAGCCAGTTTCAATACAATTGTATACATTTTCTTTCCTATGCACCAACATCTATGGGCAGTAATCTATTGACATCACTAGGCCCAACAAAGTAACCACTGTCTCCTGCACAGAGACTCAACCCTGAGGATTGCCACAGCAATCCGAGAAAGCGCTGGACACGTCTGAACAGGCATACAGCCAACACCTTGTCCAATCGCCATAGCAGGCTCTGCAACTGGGAGCTCCTAGCATGTTCATACTGAAAAGCACAACAGTCCATGTGTCCTTCTATACAAATATACCCCTAGGTGTACAAGTCAGTAACGCTAGGCTAGCATATGGAGCTTCCCTTTGGGATGCTTCTCTTTGCTAAAACAGCCTGCGGGTACAATTGGGAACTTCTCACCCTTTCTGACAGTTTAACAAAAACGGGGCCCTTCCGTCATTCACTCGCACGTGACACAGCTGCATCGAAGGGTCAAGGCCATTAAAAGAAAGGGAAGAAAGCAATCCTGATGCCAAAGTGAGCTGGCTAAGCCGTTCTCCGCTATGGGGCTTCCCCCCCCTCCCTTTGGCTCTGCCCGCCGCCCCAGGTCTCACTTGACGCGCTCAAGGCTGAGGGAAAACCGCGCAGGAGGATGACATGACAGATCTTGGCCGCGGCTGCCTCTCGCACGGAGAAAAGCGGGCAGTAAGAGACACATGGCCGGTCCCTCCCCTGCCCCCTCCTCGAGGGCGAGAACATGAGGGAAGAAGAAGAGGAGACATCATCCAACCCCCATCCACGAAGCCCCTGGCCTAAGCCCCCCGAAAACGAAGGGGCAGGGGCGTCAGTCCAAGGCACACCCTGCCCGAAGGGCTCCGTATGAGAAGCACCTCCGGTCCCCTCTCGGGCCGGGCGGTGGGGCAGCGAAGAGGAGGCGCCCTCTATCGTAACAGGGGGCCAGTACTCACCGGGCCTCGCTGAGTGCTAACTGTGGTCGCCATGGCACCTCCCTCGGGCTGGTCGGTCGGCGTCGCCCTCCTTCCGCCTCTGAACCTTCCTGGGTCCAACGCTGCGGGGTCAGCTGATTCCCCTTGCCTTACCGTCTAGCCACGCCCCTCCGTGGGTCACCGCTATTTGCCACTGCGCGTGCGCCGCAGAACCCCTTCTCTGCGGCCGCCGCGCGAACCGCTATGTAGCCACGCGCATGCGCCAAATTAGAGGGCCCCGCTGGTGAGGTATCGCGGCCTTTCACGTCTCACCGTCGTCCTTTTAGAGCGAGAAAGAGGGGGGTGTCTATGTTACACACCTGTATGGGCAAATACTGCTCTGTGGGTTGTCACAGGGACTGGACCAAATAAGAAGAAGAGACTAGGAGGCCAACAGGGTTGGACCTTTTTTAAAGGATTCGGTTCTTTTGCCGTTATTGACGTCATTACGCCCAAGAAAAGTAATCACTCTTCGCTCATAACAATCTCTTCACCGGGTTCGCGACCGGTTGGCTGGTGGGTGGGCTCTATATGACGCAACCGCCTGCTTGGTGACTTCTGATTGGATGACTGTACAGTCGTGGGCGTGGCTGCGTCGTTATTTATTTATCTTGACACTGACGGGAGACGCGAAGGAGCGTCGAGTTTTCAATTGCTGAGTTTTCTCAGAGGTTTCTTCAGGGGTTTCGCCTTTTCTCGGGTTGTCTCTGCAGCGTTTTAAAATCTTTTTCTGCGTCCAGGAGATGAGGCAGGCGCTTGGCCGGGAAAACGTTGTCCTGACAATTTCTCTTTCGAACATCTCCAGTCGCCCACTGTCCTATTTTTCTGTTGGCTTACGTACAATACCCAGAGCCTGCAGACTTCCTTTTTCGGGCAGCTATTCTTCGATGGGGCGTGGGATTCTGCGAATCTAATTCCAAGCAGTAGCTTTTCCAAGGTCCACAAACACGTGCTTGCTACTTTGCTACTTGCTTTTACGGGGATTTTAATAAAGTTTTGGAGGGATGTGGTTCACCGTTTCCACCCCACCCTTCCCCGTGAATTTGCACGGACAACGAGAGATTTGAATCGGGGACTCCCGAGTTCCTATTTTGACACTATCTGCTAGGTACACCATGTTGGCTCTCTGTTCAAATTACAGTGGGGTCTTGACTTAAGAACGGCTTGAGTTAAGAACATTTTGACTTAAGAACCACTCTCTTAGGAAAATATTGACTTGACTTACATACTTAGATTTGAGTTAAGAACTGAAAAAAACCCACGTGGGAGGCAGGGAAAGTGCAAAATTTGAACTTTCAGTTAACTGTTGGCCAGTGAAAAGGGGTGCCTGTCTGCTTCCTCACTCCTCCCAGCGTTTCGAGAGTGGATTGGGAGACAGTCTTCAGACTGCCTGGTACTGCCTGGACTGTATTTTCCCTGCCTTCCCTGAACCTTTCTTGACCTAAGAAAAAAAGAAACAAAATATCCCCCTCTAGTGGTCGAAGGCGGAATAGCAGCTTCCCATTAGTTGCTATGGACGGAAAAGAGCAGATACGGATCAAATGGTTTTCAATGCATTCCTATGGGAAATGCAGATTTGACTTGAGAACTTTTTGACTTGAGAACCGCCTTCCAATATGGATTAAGTTCTCAAGTCAAGACCCCACTGTACATGTCGTTGCCTCTGAATTAGGGCGACCCTATGAAAGAGATCATCTAAATGTCTTCAGCAGCCCTGCTTAGATCTTGCAAATTCAAGCCTGTGAACTGGTTTAGGAGTCAACCCATGTTGTATTTGATCTTCTTTTCCTGCTGCCTCCAACCTTTCCCAGAATTATTGTATTTTCCAGAGAATCCTGCCTTCTCATGAGGCATCCAAAATAGGACAGCCTCAGTTTCATCATTTTTGCCTCCTGAGATAGTTCAGGCTTGGTTTCCTTAGGACACACTTGTTTATCTTTCTGGCAATCCAGGATATCCACAAAGCTTTTTTGCTGTCCAGCTTTCAACTGGTACAGGATGGTGGAGAATGCAAGATGATCTTATGTGTTAGCTACTGGAGAGCACCAAAGGATTTTAGAAGATCAGTCTCTGCTTTATAGACTACAAAAAAGGCTTTGACTATAGATCATGAGAAACTAAGGGTTGTTCTGAAAGAAATAGGCATGCCTCAGCACTTGATTGTCCTCCTGTGTAACTTGCATTGTAGACAAGAAGCTATTGTTAAGTCAACATATTGAAAGATAGAATGATTTCCTCTAGGCAGTGGTGTCAGGCAAGAAGGGTATATTATCCCGTTACCATTTCAGTCAATATGCAGAATGTGTCGTATGGAAAGCTGGACTAAATTCAGATGACAGAGTGAAAATTGGTGGAAGAAATACCAATAATTTAAAATATACAGGTGACGCCTTTTTTCCTGGAAGAAAGCAGAAATGACTTGAAGCAACTGTTAGAGAAAGTGAAAGAAGAAAGTACCAAAACACAACTGCAGTTGAACATTAAGACAAAAATCATGACTATAGAAGAACACAGCTTTAGCATTGACAATGAAGAAATGGAAATCAAGATTTTTTTATACTTTGGTTCAATTATCAATCCAAATGGAGACTTCAACCAAAAAATGGAAAGAAGACTGAGATTAGGAAGGGTAGCAATGACTGATGTGTCATTGGAGACCACGAACAAAATCATTCACATGGTTTTTGTAGGTTTTTCGGGCTCTTTGGCCATGTTCTGAAGGTTGTTCTTCCTAACGTTTCACAGTCTCTGTGGCCGGCATCTTCAGAGGACAGCACTCTGGGCTTCACTCTGTGAAGCATCCGACTCCAGTCCTCCGAAGATGCCGGCCACAGAGACTGGCGAAACGTCAGGAAGAACAACCTTCAGAACACGGCCAAAGAGCCCGAAAAACCCACAGCAACCAACATAGTTTTCGTTATGCACAGAGTTCAATGCATTTCAATGGGGGGGGGGAATTCGCCAAAAATTAATGAAGAGTCAGAACAAAGCCAAATTAAGTTTGCACACGTTTTACAAGGTACTCTAACGAATCCAAGCATTTAAAACAGTTTCTGAGTCTTTATTACTTTTTGGTGAATTTTTTCTCCCCCATTGGAATGCATTGAAGTGCCCGTTTGACAGCTGTCAAAATCGGGTTCAATGCATTCCAATGGGGGAGAAAAAAATTCACCAAAAATTAACGAAGAGTCAGAACAAAGCCAAATTAAGTTTGCACACGTTTTAGAAGGTGCACTAACGATTCCTAGCATTTAAAACAGTTTTTGAACATTTTAAGACACTTTTAAAATTGCAAAAACGGACATCGTTAAGCAAAACAGGGGACCCAAAACGCATTCGCTATGCGAAGCATGGTCCCGAAATTGCTAAGCGAAAATCGCCCATAGGAAACATTGTTAAACGATGTGGAAAATTCTTTTAAAAAACCCCATCACTAAGTGAATACATCGTTAAGTGAGGCAATTGCTAAGCGAGGCACCACTGTACTGTGAAGGCTCTTATGAAGTATGTTACAATGAAGCTTTCTGTTGGCCACAAACAGCCAATAAAACTTTCTCTAAAGAGCTCAAAGTTTGGCTGGGCATATATTTGGGAACACCTGCATCACATCTGCTCATGCCTTGATCCAAACATGCTGAGGCCTTTATATGCCAGTAGTGAAATAATGTGCCCATCTAGTTTCAGTGCAGCTTGAATAATAATAATAAGATCCAACTCATGTTATCCTGGTCCTTGGAATCATCCATCCTTATGGTCTCACCAGAATTCACATTCAGTTTTTTCATCCAGCCTGTAAATATCATCCGGACACTTACTATGCCAGAATAGCATCTAAAATCTACATGTAACCAATACAAGTTGCATCACTTTTAGTATTAAAACTCAATAATGCTGCACATCTATTGTAAATACATTGTGGGTAGGCATTCTTCATCCTCCTTTCCCTTCATCAAGTTAGCTGTTGGAACATGCTCACTAAGTAATCTACTAGAGTGGGGTGGCTCATTTGGAATTTCCCCCTTTAAATTAAGCTTGGTCTAGAAGTGGAAAAGCAGCTCTGGGAGGGGTTTAGGAAGCCTGCAGAGTTTGTTAATCTGTACATTCCATTTTAAGCATTTGCAGGATCCAGAAACAGAGACAAGACCCAAGTTTATAGTAGACAATCTGAAGATCTTGACTGGTGGACTCTGAATTATGTGGACATTCGTTTTATATTTTGTTGTCTTGAGTGTCAATATAACACTGAAGAATTGTTTTTATATTTCAAGGCTTTTATATTTGTTTGTACAGTTATAGTATACTATGGGGAGAAACACACATAATGGAAATTATATAAGTCATTTTGACAAGTTGCTGCTTTTTAACTTAATGTGGTATGTGAACAAACCAGCACACTCTGTACCCTCTGCACCATATGATCCTATACAGGACTTTGGTACAGTTACATTTGTTCCTGAGTTAGTATATAGGTTTGTAGAATATTAATATGTTGGAACATTGTGGAATATAAGCTCTTTATTTGTCACCTGCATTACATCTGATCTTATGTCTAGGCCTAGGCCATGATTTTTTCTTTTCTAATGAAGGTTCCAAGGCTGAGAATTTAGACATTTCTCCCTAAGTCTAGCATTTCCATGGACATCCCTACAAAAGCTACACCAGGCTCATCTACAAAGAGAATATTTAATCTGCATATCAGATCCCTGGTCATTGTACCTTGCCCATGCAGTCAGAGGAGGAGATCAACCCTACAGTGCTGGCACTAGAAGGTGAAAGAGCTGGAAGTCTTCAATGGGCTATGTACTTTATAGTATGAGGTGGGCATGGCATAATGCAAGGTATTTGTGTCTAGAATCAGGTCAGGTAATTTCTTGAAGGATAATGGCTGCCCATTAGAACCTAAATGTTAAATGTTCACCCTATGTTACGTTCTGTCAAATAGTATCCAACTTATAGAATCTCTAATAGAGTTTTTAAAATATATGAAATATTTTAACATTGCCACACCCAAGAAAGCTTTCTTGACCAAGCAGGGATTCAGACCCAGATCTCTTGAGTCCTAGTCTTCCCTGAATCCACTATGCCACATTGGCTGCACCCTAAGCAGTTCTGACTTTTTCGTGACCCTTCCCGGGTTTTCCAGCTAGAGAATAATAGTAGGCATTGTGACGATTGCCCCATGTCACTCCTGCCACTCATAGTCATGATCTAATTTGCATGAGCCTATGAGAGGATTGGAGGGACAGAGTCAGAGGATGTATGAAGGTTTGGCAGGAGGAGGGAGAGTCAGACAGTCAGGGAGAAATAGAGATAGAAAGATAAAAGACTGGTTAGTCAGAGAGAGAAGGAACAGATACTAATAGAGATAAAGCTGGTTCAGATAAATAGAGAAGGTGGTAATAATATAGCAGGAGAAAAGTATGTATTGAGAGACCTGTTAATGATTTACTTGTGTACAATGTTCATCTGAAGAACTTCTGTGATTATTAAATTGTCTTCACTTCAATAAATA